GGTGTCAGTCTGAGACAGTATTAAGCTCAGCTGCGGCGGGTGACCCGGCTCGGTCTGATAGTTGTTGCGGCTGGTGTTACGTTGTTCTTTTAGAGTGAATGATGATTGTGGTCCTTTTTTCCTTGTTCGGTCGTAGCATGGTCCCTTTGTGTATTAAATTCAATTCTTTTGTTAAATGTAATTGCATTCATTATAATTGGATTCAACATATCTTCTTGCAAAAACCCAAATAATGACCAAGCGTGTAACCATGAAATAAATGTATCAAAGATGTGTTGAGTGCAATGACATTACATCCATCCATTATATACAACAGAAATTCAGAGCTAAATTCGTCTAGATAAGTAACATGATTTTTAAGGCGAAACTGTGGGGTAAACACCCAGTGCAAAATATTATATTATTGGGAAGTGTATGTACACACTGGTTTGAGATGAGCCTAGAAAGAAGATAAATCAAGAAAACAATCCCCAACAAACTGAGCCAAAAAAGAAGAAATGAAAATTACAAGACTTTAGCTCACCAAGCTTTGAAAGCATTGCCATATTTCGTTTTCATCTTGTGTCCCAAAATCTGCTCGCCAAGACACTAAAATTACAAGAGTTCAGCTCGCCAAGCCCTTGTTCATCCTGTTACCATCAAGCTAAAATCATCAGCTCGGGATCCCTTACCTGAGAGCCGCCGGATTTAACCCCGACACGGGCTACGTTGCTTAGCTCTCTGGTGAGCGATGTGGTGGCGGGTGTTGACGATGTACCTTGGCCCTGTGGGTGGCGAGGTGCACGGTGATGGGTGATCCTTGCGGAGCAGATGACTTCAATGAAAGCTTTGCCCTGATCTGGATCTGTTGCTCCCATTCCATCATGGTGGGGTCCCCGTGAGAGTTCCCTCGATGTCGTGGGAGTTGTGGTCGAGCGAAAGCTTTGCGCTCCGGCGCTGGCGGCGACAAAGCATGCGGATGTTGTATTCCTCTTGGGGCGTCGCCTTGGACCTCTCCTTGCCGTCCAACTCTCAAGGTGAAACTTTTCTTAGCTTCGGCTGATGCAACGGTGGCGACGCTTTGTGTCGGTACCCTCCCGGGGGCGTCGTCGGTGCGGGTGGGTCTTCCTCTGCATGGTGGTGGGTTTCATGTGCTTCTTCTCGGCTGCTAGCTCTAGGCGCTTAGGTGGACTTAGTGCGTTTTGAGAATTTTTGGCTAGTATTACTGATTTTCTTTAGATCAGCTTATGAGGTTCTCCTCGATGCCTCGCATCGGGTCATTTTGTATCGGTTTGGTTGTTTATACCTTTATCTATAAAGGGGGCGAAGCTTGTATTGAGAGAGAGAGAACGATTCGTGAAATCAACGGTCCTTGATGGCCTATTACAATGGCGCGCAATGGTGACCGATCTTGACCAAATTCAGTTGACCAACGCCTATTACTGCCCTTTTTGTATCTGTTATCCCGCTTTCTATATAATAAAGCTATGGTACGTAATTTGTATACACTTTGAAAAAGACGATTACATTTTATTTTCCTATTTTTACAGTGACATACATCTTAATAAATCAATTATTGTGCGGTTGAAATATGCACACGCGCACGAATACGTTCATAATTTTTAATCAAAGATTATGTTCAAATAATTATTGTTTAGCATGCTCGGGCACCAGATCGATAGCAGCCTGAGGGTTTGCTGCCAGACCCAGTCTACTCTCGGCTATGGATCCCATCGTCACCATTATTATTAGATTATCATAGTATAATAGGCGAGCCAAGCATGCACGCACCAATTTGTATTTAAATTCATCTGGGAGTACTATTTCTCATATTCATGCATCTTAGACCTACCATACCTCACCTGATCAACGCGCTTACACCTGATGATCCTAGCTTGAACCAATCCATCACCTATATATTTTGACATAGTGTCATCAACGATCTTACAGCACATTCCATCGTGCAGCCATTTCTCTCTATAACTTCCTTGGATCCTATCAAATTTCTCTCTAGTGCTAACTTCCAGCTCTGATCTTTTCAGTTAGCTAGCTAGTCGATCTGACATTTAATCCATGGGGGTTAAAGTTCTTATCCTGATCACCCTGGCTGTGGCCATGCTCCAGATGGTGCTCGGCGCCAGTCAAACAGTGGGCGTGTCGGCCAGATCATGGGACCTGCAGACCAACTACACCATGTGAGCTTCGAGAACTAGGTTTACCATCGGCGATGAGCTCCGGTTTCAATACTCCACCACCATGCACAATGTGGTGGAGGTGAGAAAGGCTGGGTACAATGCCTGCAACAGCTCCAGCCCCATCGCGATGTTCCTGACCAGCAACGACATCGTCCCACTTGCATCCACTGGGACGCGGTACTTCATCTGCGGCATCCCTGGGCATTGCGTCGCCGGTATGAAGGTTCAAGTCAACGTGAAGTCAAAGGCAGTGCGGACAGTACAACGGTGCCGAGGGATGGGGAAGCGGCTCTGGTGCCTGTTCGAGACTGTATTAAGCTCGGCCACGAAGGCTGGCATTGATCAGTGTGCGGTGGTGCGACTAGGTCTGGCCGTTATCGCGGCTGGTCTCGTGTTGTTCTTTTAGTGGCCGACGACTGTGATGTTTTTTTCTTCTTGATGTGTCGGGCATTATTTGTGTATTGTAAATCAATTTTTTTGTTAAATGTAATTTCTTCCATTATAATTGGATTTAACTTATTGTCTTGCAAAACCAAACTATAATCAAGTGTATATAATCATGGAATAAATAAGGGCAGTGCTTGGTGCCGGTCGGCCGCGCACTAGCCATCAAATGCAACCTGTGTAGGCCGTCTGATTTGGCTGCTCAGCTCCTTCCTCCCCACACCTTGCACAGCCTTGCCCAACACCATTCCCCTCACGCAGCTTGCCAGTGCCCCCCCCCCCAAGCCGGTGCTCACCGTCGCTGATTCCAACATCTACAGTCTCTGGTTCCAGCAAATGCGCGAGCCGATTCCAGCAAAAGGACTTCACCTGTGGCCTGTCAGTTCCAGAAAAAATGCGCAGCTCGCGGTCACCACCGTCGTAGCTACTCTGATGACTGCTTGCAACTTTTTTGCCGACGGGTCTCAGCACCTCGCCGCCCTTCTAGAAGCATGCCGCCATTCCATGCCTGTCGGCGCCGTCGTAGCTCGCGGGAACCATGGTTGCACGGTCGCTGAGGTTTTGCAGCTTTTCTCCTGCCCCATGTCAACATTAACACATGTCAATTCCATCAAAAAAGATGACCGTATGCAGCATCTATTGCCGTCGGGTTCCTGGGATGCACCACGGTTGGTTCTTGTGTCCTCATTGACTGGTTCCAGCAAAAACCATGGCCGGATGCAGCATGGCGGTGTCGCTTTGTAGCTTCTCTCTTTGGCGAGCGTAGCTTTCCTCCGTCGTTTTTCTTTTAAGATGGTAGATTTATGATTTTATCTTAGCAGCTATAAAGGCATTTACTTTTACATTATCGTATCAGAGAAAAGGGCTAAGAGATGAGTAACCAAAAAGATAATATTAGTATAAATATTTTTTTCATTCTGCTTTGAATTTTCATTCACCTCACAAATGTTATAACCTCTCCAGGGCGGACCTTGTGAGCCTGCTTCAAATTGTTCTCTTATGAGAGTTTTCCTCTATATTTAAGGTGTATACTTAGTGGTAGTGTTTGGACGTAAGTACCAAGTTGAAGCCAATGTGCCTAAGGTATAGTTCCCCACTCAGGACTACAGAGATTACCCCTTGATATTTGGGCGCACTGCAAAATGTAGTGGTTTTATTGTATGGAATGGAACAGGGGAACTCATACTAAAAAGAAAGAAACAAGAGCATCTCAAGGAGAAATGGTGGTGATAAAAAAAATTCCCCCTCTGATCCATAATAAATATCGTGGTTTAGCTCAAATGTATAGTACATATATGACAACTAATTATTAGTGAACTTACCTCTCACTACCAAAAACTAGGACCAACTATAAATCCTCTTTGCCAAATATGATTTTAGCTGTATGACAACAGCGAGGCGCCTTACCCTGCAGACTATGCAACTTTTGAATTTGGTCAACACAACATATTATCAATAGTGAATTTCCGTGAATTTTGACAGTGGCATACATCTTAATTATTATTTTAGAAGAACCTTAATTAATTATATAATTATTTGACGTACCGATGTAGTACATATTCGCACTAACACGTTTGGAATGTTTAACTAGAGAATATGTTGGATTAATTTATGTTTAGTACGCTCGTGCGGGCATCCGAATCGATCGAGGACAAGGTCTACTGATGGCTACTGATGATTTCCTAACTAATTGTTTGGACATGGTCTACTTACAATTTGGTTACGTACTAATCATTTTCTCCCCAGACCCGTTCTACTAACGGCTACCGGGCACATCTTCTCCATTGTTAGTTTTCTATTAAAGCTATGGAGCCAAGCATATATAATAATATCAGTTTCAGGAGATAACGTGTACGATGTTATTTTCATGCATTTTAGACGACCTACTCTATGTCACCTGGTCAACGCGCTTACACCCGGTGATCCCTTAGCACACCCATCGCCTATATATGTCGACACACTAGTATCAATGATCTCACAACACCATCCATCCTGAAGCCATTTCTCTCTTTAGCTTCCTTGGAGCTTGTGATCATTAGTTGATCAGACAACATAACCAATTTTCTCTCTAGCGCTAACTTCCACCCCCATCATATTTTGAGTCACTACTAAGTCAGCTAGCTAGTATATCCATATTTAATCCATGGGGACCAAAGCTCTTATTCTGATCACCGTGGCCATGGCCATGCTTGGGACGGCGCTCGGCGCCAGCCACACCGTGGGAGCGCCGAACGGTTCATGGGACCTCAGACCAACTACTCCCAGTGGGTTTCCAGAATCAGGTTCACCACCGGCGATGAGCTCAAGTTCCAGTACTCCACCGATGTGCACAACATGGTGGAGGTGAGCAAGACAGGGTACGACTCTTGCAACGGCTCCAGCCCCATAGCGACTTTCTCGACCGGTAACGATGTTGTTCCGCTTGCCACCGTCGGGACCCGATATTTCATCTGCGGCGTCTCTGGGCACTGCGATGCCAGCATGAAGGTCGAGGTCAACGTCAAGTCCAAAGAAGTGCGGACTGTGCAGCGGTGCCGACGGACAGGGAACCGACGTCATTGCCAGTCCGAGACAGTATTAAGCTCAACTGCGGAGGCTGGCGTTGATCAGTCTGCGGTGGCCCGACTCGGTCTAATTGTTGTTGCGGCTGGTCTTATGTTGTTCTTTTAGAGTGAACGATGATTGTGGTCCTTTTTTCCTTGATCAGTCATAGCATGGTCCCTTTGTGTATTAAATTTAATTCTTTTGTTAAATGTAATTGCATTCACTATAATTGGATTCAAGACATCTTCTTGCAAAAACCCAAAAAATTACCGAGCGTAAAATCATGAAAGAACTTTATCAAAGATGTGTTGGCTGCAATGACATCACATCCATCCATTATATACAACAAAAATTCAAGCAGAGCTAAATTCGTCTAGATAAATAACATGATTTTCATGGCGAGCGGGGCAAACACAACTGCAACTTTTTATATCGTTAGGAAGTGTATGGATGCACTCGTTTGAGATCAGCCAAAAAAGTAAGATAAATGAAGGAAAACAAACCTTAACAAACTAAGCCAAAAAGAGGCAGAAACAGAAATTACAAGAGTTCAGCTTGCCAAGCCTTGAAAGCATTGTCATATTTCGTTTTCATCTTGTGTCCCAAAAGAATTAGTGAAGGTACTGAAAACCGTCAATAGTCCCGAGAGGATGATGCGCGGGATCGGAAGTACCGGAGGGGATTCACATGTGATGAGTTTACCCAGGTTCGGGCCCTCATCATAGAGGTAAGAGCCTACTCCTACTTTGGATTTAATTGATGGGGAAAAACGTCTCGTATGAGGGGGTATGTGGTGATAATGCTATCGAGACAATGATGCTATAGTCAGATGCCTCGAACTACCCCTGGTCTCTTCTTATAAAGGTGTTCGAGACTCAAGGTTATACCTTTTGCTAACCGACCTAGGGTCCGGATCGGATGAGGGCTTCTTGACTTGCACGGCAAGATGAGATCCTCCCGAAAGGAGCGCTTCCCGCGGAGCAAGGATCCTAGGCCACACCTTGGCTATGGGCCTTGAGGCCAGCCCATTAATTGTCTGCTTCCTAGCCGATGGGCCACCCTAGGTTTAGTACACTGTGTGTATTTCTCAAGCTTGTCTAGAATTTTGGTCATGCTTCTCTTGGAATCTCCCAAGATGAAATCGTGTTGGGCTCCTCCTGTGTCAAATAAACCACACCAACCTCAGTTTTCTTGATGTCTCCATTAACTAACTGTCTGGACTAGGCCTCCATAGTGCCATGCAACCTGGCTTCAGAACTTCTTAGGGAATCTTTGGACCCTTCCATATTTCGGCTTCTTGACCACCCTTAATGAAGGCATATAAAAGACCGATGTGTATTCTTACATGCACAATGACATCACGCTTGACCACTAGATCATTCAGGCATTGAATATCTATTTGAATCGAGCCATAACTGATCCAGGTAGGGATCGAAGCATCGTTAATATAACTAGATGATACCCCATTGCGTTCCCGTGGAATTTGATTAATCTAATGAGATTTGATTGTATTTAACATGAATGTTTGGGTTAACACTAGGATAAATGAAAATAAGAACACATATGAAATTGATTATAAGTATGCAGAATATTTATATTTAATGTATAAGTAGGATGATTGGATGAAATTCTCATGCAAGGGTGCATGTTGAGGTGGAATTTTTCCATACATGATTGCATGTTAAGAATAATTTATTGGTGAAGATCACCTATTTAGTTATATAGGATATATGACAACTAATTGGCTAATGACCTGATAACTAGGTGACAATAAGTTGTTAAGTATTGTATTTTTGTCAAAACATGTCGACATGAGATCTATTATCGAAGATCTCACACCGCGAAGCTAAAGGTGGAAATGGATCGTCAATCGGATTAATGCGTTGCGATATGGAATTGGTAACAAATTTAAATTTGATGGGATCTTTAGTTATATCAACACACACACACACTGGCGCGCGCGCGCACAC